GATGTTAAAAAGGAAGGTAAGGGAGCATATGGAAGGGCACACACTTCATATCTGAGTACATTAAAGCCCTATGATAATTCAATTTCCTAGAATATAGAGCAGGCTTGATGAGGAAGCAAAACCAAGATGAAGTCTGAGAAACCTCCATGCCTCAAGATTTTCTGTGCCCTTACAGGGAAGTTGACATGAAAGAAAGAACTGAGAAAGGAAAACCCTTTCAGAGGGACTATTTTAAGAAACTTGACAGGAAAAAGAATGAAGCCGTTTAAGGTGATGATGGAAGTCACATACCGGTGCTTGTTGTCCTCTTCCTCATCTCCTATCCTATAAAGCAAGATTCCAACAGTAAAAGGTTAGCATGCCAAATTTTCAATTCAAGCATGCTGTAACACACAAAACCCACAAACTTGTAGAAAATTAATACAGAGATCAAAGGAAGCACAGAAAGGCATGCATAAAATCCCTTTTGCAATTGATGGGGGTTTTTTTCCTCCTGCTTTCTGATAAGTGAAGCTGTAAATGTTTACTATAGATTTTTTTGTCTTCCAGGATAAGAGATGAAATGTGAGGGAGCACAGTGTCCTACTTTCAGAAAACATGTGCTTCTGTAACATTTAAAGCAAGCAGAACAACAAGGGAGCACATTACCAAGAAAAATTACAAGAGGAAGTGTAAAACAAAAATTAAAAAAAGAAAAAATTGAACTATCCCAAACTACGAATTATAGCATTTAAAATCTTAGCAATTAAAGTCAAACACAGTGCTCAAACACAACTTTTTTTTCCTTTTTTTTCCCCTTCTTTACCTGCGAAGCAGCTTCGACTTCAGCTCGGTCTTCGTCTCATTCCAGGCATCGAGCTCTGGGCTCGTCACAGCCGTGGGTTTGGTGTGGTCCAACACAGTAATGTCTTTTCCTTGTTTCCATAAATCGTAGCGTTCCGGTTGCAGGACTCTCACAAAGACATCCATGGAAATCTTCACCATGTCTTTGCGGCAAGTGCACTGCAAGAGATATCCAGACACCAACACCACATCAGATATCAGACGAATGAGGTTTTTTTTCTCATCAGCTGAGTTTGCCTTTCTCCAGAGGAGAACTCACACCACGCCATTGGTTTTGTCTGTAAGGCCTGGTGACTGACACCCATCTACTGCCTTATTAGTGATTATTATTAGCCAGTAATAACTTTGGCCAGCGTAGACCAGGTCCGAGTTACCCCCATTAGCCAGTCTTTTGTGCAGTTTCTCAGGCTGAAAAGTGATTATTAATATCACTTCATAACTGAAAAGGCTTTAAAGGAACAAAGACTAACCTAGTGAAGACAACAGTTAAACTTCGTAATTACACAGCATGACATGGCACCTAAATCCTTCACAGGACTAGAGAAATAGAAAAGGCTACAATAACAACTACATTCTGCACCTAAACCACATATGCCCAAGCTAAAGAAAATGTGCATTATTCATTTCAACTAGCATAGACTCATTAAAATTAACCTCCGGAATTGCACCCTTGCCATTGTGCATGCCTACACAAAGACTATATACAGGCACTTTCCCTTGGATATCCGTTTGCTCTGATGAAGCACAGAATCACCAAACGGAGCATAGGAAGGGAATTCTCACCCAGGACACAGATACCAGACCGAACGAGCATTTAATTTTTATCAACTTTTAACTCAAAAGAAGGCACGGGACTGAACAGGCAATGTGTTGTAATGGTGTGTTTTTCACCCTCACCTTTTCAAAACTATTCTATCCTTTCTCTTAGCAGAAATGCATGAAAACAAACTTGCTTCTCCCCTTTCATTTTTCACTACTTTCATTAAAAGATTTATGGCCATAGTTAAGAAAGAAGAGAGTCTTTCTGTACAGGACTTTGCTATCCCTTCTCTCCCAACTCCCGTTTTTCATTTTGCAGAGACCACTGCCTACCGTCTGCTCTGCCTGGGAGAGCAGCAATAACGTGAGCGTGCCGAGCAGGAAGGAGTGTATTTATGGACAGGCACTTGGAGGAAAACTCTATTCATTTAATGAAAAATAGCACAAGACAGAAAGGCTGGAAATGCAATTTGGCCTAAGAGCGGCAGGAACACAGATGGTACCCGTGCTTCCAATTCCTGGCCAGGCAGAAGCTCCACACTGGTGCCTCCATCAATACTGGCTTAAGGGATTCGTATTGAGCACATTTGCAATCACTTTTCCTTAAGAAATTCTAAAAGCACCTCTTTGCTGCTACAAAGAGGAATACAGAAGAGCATCCCACAGCACACAACATCAGTGCTCTACGGAGACTGACCTCCTCTGCCTTTGTGAAGGATGGAAAATGGCTTAAAAGAGGAACAGTCCCCTCTCTGATCCTAACCTGGACCCAACGCAGATGTCAATTCCTTCAAACCAAGTGGAGCAAATCCTGAGTCGGACGGGTCCAAAGGTCTCCAACCAGTGCCAGCTTAAGCATCTCACAGAAATGTAAAGTGCACACAGATTACTGAGAATCCCCACACCGAGCTCTCTGGATGCTATTCAGAGAAATGACACCGTGGGCTGCAGTCTCCAGTGTACCACAGCACCAGGAGCCTGCAGGAGCCAAGTTCCTTTCTTTACACAAATCTAACATGATGTATGTTTATATTTCAATTTTAATTTAATTTTATTGCTTTCACACTAGCAAGCATGAATAATTTACAAAGCCTCTTTCCTTAAGGGGCTTCTTCCGGACCATACAGTTCTATTTCCTCAGCTGCTGCAGTTGTGTCACATTCCCGTTCCCATAATGGCCAGGGTGTTTTTCCATACCCTTCCCTCAGACTGAGCAGCAAAATCTTGCTTAATACAACAGATGCTTCCAATACAATCACAAAAGGGAACGTGTATGAGCGTGTGAGGGGTGAGAGAGGGAGGAGACTGCGGGTAGAAAAGGGCAAGAAATTTCATTTGCAATTAATTACTTGCTCTATTCCATTAGAGCAGGACAAAAATAGCAAGTCTGTGTTTCCCTGTCAGTGATATCTATTTCCATGTATTGCCTTCCCTTCCATATTTCTTTCAAATAAATTTAATTGTGGTCATAAATGCATGTACTTCCTAAGAGATACTACACCTACACCCCCCACCTCTGCCTCTTCCTATCCCAATTTCTGCAGAACACACCCTTTCATACTCCATTTTTCCCCCTCAAGTTCTCCACTCTCATATTCTGGTTTTATTAAATGGACATGTCTACACTCAATCATCACCAATAAGGAGAGATACGAAACCTTGTTTCCTTATGCAAGCCTAAACCAAACTCCTACGAACCAGTAGAGCTGGGGGAGACTTTACCACAGGGCAAGGACTTTGTCAACCACACGGGATAAGAACACGCAAAGGCAACTCCCAATCCAAGCACATGCAAAAATACTGTGAGGAAATGCACAATGAAGCACTTTTCAAACACAGAAACCCAACATTCTTCCTCTACTTATTTTATTATCTGCTACTCCAAGTTGGAGACTGTGGTAAAATATGTGACCACACCAGGAACCCCGTCTCATCAATTATAACTCCAAGACTGTATAGTGGGAAATCTGTGGCTACTGAATGTGTAACTGTTATCTTACCTGCCGTATATTTTTAAATAAGAACACCAATAAGTCTGTATAAAATAACAGTCAAATAAAAAGTCTGTCTCCTTGAAGTAATAAAATCAAATGATATATGGAAAAAAATGCAGCCTCATTCAACCTCAGCCTTCAGCATTGTTTTTGTAAGGATATTTCCCTCAGTTCCCAGTCACACAAATGGTATATTTAAATCTGCACCTCTGGTTCTCATGGAAAACCCCCTCCCATTTAGATAAAACCAGGGCCAACTGCACAGTTGTTTAAGACTCTGTTAGCCTCCCACTTTGCCTTAATGGAAGTCTAAATATAAGAAAACCTAATATGCTCAAAGTCAAAGTTCTTTCTGCTATTACACCATCATTAAATGCCAAACCAAAATCTTTGCTTAAAGCTTCTGTATCTGCTTTTTCATAACAGTGAAGCCTAAAAGCATGAAAGATGGTTACATTCAAAAGGCAGCTACAAAATTCTTGCAGTATATCAGAGGAACACACTTTGCTAACGCAGACAGCACTCCTAAGCTGCTCTCCATAAATTTCCAGGACAAGGTATAGAGTTTCAGCTTTTGGGAAAAACACAAAGCCCTCCCAGTAAAATACCCTTAAACAGCTCTCCAATTTGTTATCGTGTTACAGACATGTTATTTGAGATCTAGTTAATACTCATCTGATACGACAGAATAAAACAGTTTAGGCTCCAGTTTAATCTTCCTTCCACTCAGACCCCGTCCAGCAACGCTCTCGCAAACAACCAAGGTCTCAAAAGTGACAAAGGCACAGAAATGGCAAGTAAGTGTCCAAAACATGAGTGGCAGGTATTCTGTGAGTAAACGAGGAGTTAAACTTGGAGAAGAAGGAGAAAAACCTCAAATGCATCATTTGTGTGTGCAGCAGTTGGTAGTTGAGAGCTTGTGGGAAAGAAGATGAGTCTTGACCCCCTGTTTCCAGTGTAATTACCAGTGTTGCTGTAGGTCTCAACAACGAACCAGTTCATTAGGAAACCCACTGGAAATCCTCTACAGAGTTTCATAAACAAAACAATTAGCAAAGCTTTCCAAGCCACCCCCTGGTCCCTGGCCGCAGGGCACGCTTTCTCCTCACTTGCGTCTTCAACTTGCTTCTGCAATGATCCATGCAGACTTCTGTGGGTAGAAGAGTTGGGTACGTGTCAAATGGTGTTTAAGATATAATATAAAATGCCATAGGCAAATAAAACAATAACCTATCCCAACTGGAATCAGGCTTCTGCTGATACATTACATGGAGATTTGTTTGAGGTTGGTTTTCTGTTTGGCAAAGCTATTTTGCAACCTCTGCCAGAATCCTTTTTTATCTTGTACTATTTTGTAGTCTACACCTGTAAGGATGCCGACTGCTCCAGAACCTATCCCAAATACGTGCAATCCTCATTCCTGTAAGATGAACACAGCCACAGCTAAAGGTCAGCCAGGGGGCGATCACCTCAGCAGGGTCCTGAGTTGTATTTCTCAGAAGAGGCTGAAAGAACAAAGAAGGAAATTCAGTGCTCAGCAGCACCACAAGAAGGGATTCAATGAAGTACTGGCTCCTTTCTGTTTTGACAGACTCATTCCAGTACAAGGGATAAACAAAATAAGCCTTTCATCCAGCGTTATGATGGAGGCCGCAGTGAACATCATCCTGATGTTATCTCGAGGTATTATTTCTTCCACATTGTAAGACTTGTGGCTGGTGAGCAAACTCCACCAGCGACCACTGTTGTTGGCAGAGAACACGGCATTTCGGCAGGTCAGCACCCTGTGCTCATGCGCTGAGCAAGCAGCGAGCGTGAACTGACGTGGCTTGGTGACGATCTATGGTTGTAAAGCGACAGACACACTGACTGAGTAAAGTTACCCTTTCATCTTCCTGTTTGATCATCTGCTTTTTATTCATTTCTTCTAAAAAGAAAGCCGAGCGCTGTGCTGGAAACCACAGACGAAGCAGTAAAACCCACCATTTTGTATCCCATGTATGACACCAAGATCTATAGGCAGTTTGTAGAAGCATGAATAATTGTGTTTGGTGAAATACGAAGAGTCGCTATCTGAAGTGACAACCCAAGATTTGCTTCCAGCACACCGAAATTCCTTCCCCTGCTGATAACGGGTACTCTTCGGTAACATTTTTCAAAAGGATACGAAGCTGAATATATATTTTTGCAACTCCAAATGCTACAGCTTAGAATCAAGAGAGGGTTGATGTATAAATAAAGGAGGCAAGATACTGTATATCAATCCTAAAGAAACAGCAATCAAACCCCCTCTGAAAACCGCACACTAAATGAAGCACTTCTGTCTCCTCCCTGTCATAATCCACACTCACCTGCACGTATTTTTGAAGCAATTAAGAGTTGGTTAAGTACACAGCAAAAGCAAGA